TCTGAGAGAAAGCATCGACGTTTGGCTGCGCGATCGGGAGACCGATGGTGGAATCTTGACGCGAGGGGACGATCCTGAGTATTACAGTCCTCGCCCCTCTGCCCAATTGGGACGCGCTTCGAGCACATGGTCGGATTCTGGCAGCTCCATTCACGAAAATGAAGAGGAAGAGCTTGTGGAGGAGGCTTTGGTTGTAAACGAAGCTGCCGTGTTCGAGCGCTGCTTCCAGCATCTCAACGACTTTGCGACGGAGGGGTTGCGTACGCTCCTGTATGGGCACCGTTTCCTTGACGAAGCTGCCTACAACAACTGGAAGGCTGCCTATCACGAAGCCTCCACTAGCCTTGTTGACAGACAGGAGAAGATCGAACAGGTTGGTGAACAGATCGAGCAACAGCTCGAGTTGACTGGCGCAACGGCCATTGAAGACAAGCTGCAGAAGGGCGTTCCCGAGGCGATCGACAAGCTGCGCCGTGCGAACATTAAGATGTGGATGCTGACTGGCGACAAGCGAGAGACCGCCATCAACATCGGTCACTCCTGCCGTCTGGTAAAGGATTACTCGACCCTTGTCATTCTGGATCATGAGACTGGAGAGGTCGAGCAGTCAATTGTTAAATTGACAGCCGACATCACCAAGGGCGGCGTCGCTCATTCGGTTGTTGTAGTTGATGGGCAGACACTATCCATAATCGAGTCAGACCAAATCCTGGCGGCACAGTTTTTCAGGCTGGCCGTGCTAGTTGATTCGGTTATCTGCTGCCGTGCCAGTCCTAAGCAGAAAGCTTTCCTGGTCAAGTCGATCCGTCAACAAGTCAAGGGTAGCGTGACGCTGGCGATTGGTGATGGTGCGAACGATATTGCCATGATCCAGGAAGCTCACGTTGGCATCGGCATTACTGGTAAGGAGGGATTACAGGCGGCCCGAATCTCGGACTACTCGATTGCCCAGTTCAGGTTCTTGCTGAAGTTGCTCCTCGTCCACGGTCGGTGGAACTATATCCGGGCGTGCAAGTACACGCTCGGGACCTTCTGGAAGGAAATGCTGTTCTACCTGACGCAGGCTCTGTACCAGCGCTGGAACGGGTACACTGGCACCAGTATTTATGAGTCATGGAGTTTGAGTATGTTTAATACTCTCTTCACATCTCTGGCCGTCATCTTCCTCGGCATCTTCACCAAAGACCTCTCTGCCTCCACCCTCCTAGCTGTCCCAGAGTTATATACCAAAGGGCAGCGCAACGGCGGGTTCAATATTCGGCTGTATCTAGGCTGGACGTTCATGGCTGCATGCGAGGCCATGATGATTTATTTCTGCATGTTTGGGCTGTTTGAAAATGTCATGTTCACGCACACAGGCAGCGACATCTTTTCAGCCGGTCTGCTCTCGTTCACGGCCTGTGTGATCGTCATCAACACCAAGCTACAGGCCCTCGAGGTGCACAACAAGACGTATCTGTGCTTAGTTGTGTGGATCATCTCCGTTGGTGGTTGGTTCTGTTGGAACTTGATCCTCGATCGCCGGTACAACCCCAGCTCTGGTGACGGGATCTACCATGTTCTGGGCAACTTTGTCTATGCATCAGGCCACGACCTCGCTTTTTGGGCAGCTTTGCTCGTCACCGTCATCGCAGTGATCGTGTTCGAAATGACCGTGAGTTCCGTCCGGGCGCTCTTTTTTCCCACGGACGTGGACGTCTTCCAGGAATACGAGCAGGACTTGGACATTCGAAGACGGTTTGAGGAAGCCGCAGCATCTGAGCTGCAACAAGGCTGGGATCACGGCAAGAAGAAATCTAGCTTTGAGCTGGCTCGCGAGGAAGAGATGGAGGTGCGCGAGCAACAGGTTCGGGAACTTCTTGCCCGGCCAAGAGTCATGGTGACCGGCACCAAGACAGGCTCTGGTCCTGTTGAGATGGAAGATGTTGAACTGGGCGGATACGGCACCAGGACTCCTCCAGAGGGTGAAGAGGTGCCCAAGACCCCGCGCCGGTCAGTCGAGGTTCATGAGTTGTTTACGAAGGGATTTGGAGCCATCCGAAAGGGTCATTTGAAGTGAATGATGATGGAAGAAAAACAAAAAGCATTTCTTCGTGTCTGTTTGTTGTATGAGTGCCTTCACTCCTTTGATTTGTGAGCGTTCAGGCGTTTAGAGTGGATACCCCGGATAAGTTCTAGTCACTCCTTCTCTGTTATTTTTCTGATCAGTGTGTATACTGGTTGTATATATGCATGGAAAGCAAATAGATTATGAACGTGGACAAACGCGCAACGTTTACATGGAGCAGTGAAACAGATGAAAAGAAAGAGCATTGCTTGTAAGAAGTAGGCTAAGCTTGACAGCTCCGGAGCACCCGGAAGCGAGGATGAGGGGCGCTCCAGTTTCCCCTGAGTGGATCCCCAATTTCCCCGGGTATATCGGATTTAGCACTCCGGGGGTGCATAGGTTAGGTTGGAATAGTAATGCAGTGGAGGGGATTCATAAGCTGCATAGTTAATTGATCCTCCGACATACTAGTATCGGTTAGTTGACTAGTAGTTATGATGGAGTGACTAAAGGTTGCTGTGTAAGGGTGTGCTGTTTGGTGAGTATCCTTGTATGTGATTAACTACTTAATATTCAGACAGAGAAGCCTACATTCCATGATTTAAGGGATGCTTATATAGTTGCCATAGGTCGATAGTTTAAGTATTAGAGGGGTAAAGTGTAGGCATCTACATCAACATATGCGGATGCTTTTATCATATAGGATTTTGCCGATTGTTGGTGATACCTAGATACTAGGGCACTTATCTACAATATCAATATCATCAATATCTAAATGAAAACTTCATGGCAACATATATCGCTAGGTATGAATACTTGTAAATATCATATCCCTATATCATCAGGCCAGTCACGGGTTAACCTACTAAACTTCACGCACCTATTCACGTCCGGTGAGGTGCCCTACGATGAATCACTCCCTACATGATAGTCAATTACAACAAACTCATCAACATGGCAATTCCCTATCCAAAGCCCTTGGTATCTCCCATTAATCCGATACCCTCACACTAGGAAACTACCATGCCATTCATCAAAGAGCATACGTACTATTATATAGCCACTAAGCATGCCTACCTTTCCTCTTACTCTACGCTATACAACCGTTACCACCATCCCCATCCCCATCTAATACATTTCAGTTAATATGTCCTCCCCAATGGACCTCTCCCACCCCTTACCAACCCCCTACCCCAAAAAATCCCTCTACGACCCTCCCATCCGCATCCTCGTCGATACCCGCATCCACCTCCTCCCAGGAGACACCAACGAAGACCGCAACACCTTCCTCATCAACCACATCTGCCACCTACACTGGCACACCGAATTCATCCCCTCCAAGCACCGCCGCTACGCCTTCAGCACCGAGCGGTACCCCATCGAGTCCACCCGCTGTCTGTTCCTTGTTGATTGCGGCCAGACCGCAAGCAAGGAGGAGGATGAGGATGTTCCTGTGGTTTATTATAAGTGGACGGGGGAGTATTTGTAAGATATACACTTTACCTATACTTATACCTATTCAGTACTCAATCTTTGATACTAGTCAGTAGTAGGTTCAATGGAGGATGATTGCTGATTTATGACTGTGGTATAGGACCCCCCTACCCATCCTATCCTACGAAGCCTGGATCAAGAATAAACTCAAATACGTGTATCCGTTTACTCCTGCGCCGAACTGGCAAAACGGGGTTAATCGGGATCGAGAGCGAGAAATGCTCTTGTCCAAGGTGTTGTGGGCGAGTAGTAGTGGTGGGGCGACGGATGATGATTTGAGGGCTTTGAGGGATAATGAGGAGGATTGGGCGTGGTTGAGGGCCAGTTTGGATCCGGATGTTTTTGGGGGGTTTTTGTATGAGGCGAGGAGGAGAATTTATTGATATCATTTAGTAATTGGGTAATAGATGATGTGCGTGGGGTTTGGTTTGAGGAAGGTTTGGTTTTGTCTCTTGGGGGTAGTCTGGGATGGTGGTTGGGTTGCTGCTTCTTCTTTCGGATATGGTTGCATCTTTGTTTCCACACTGGTAGTATGGATTTGATGGTTTGGTGCAGGTGTGGTGGTTACTCAGGTGGTTGTTTAGGGGAGTAGTATGAAAAGAGAATTACGTCAAACTGAAGTCAAATTTCTTAGTAGACGAGGGGTTGATACGACATATGGCAGGCTTTTGATGATAGGTAGATGAATAAGTAGAAGAGTCGTATAACTAGAAGGCCTGGACATCCGCACAATCGAGGTGTTACAATCTAGTAGTGAGTAATGCTCATTGCTTCGCTAGCGACCCATTAACATTTAGTGTAGTTGCCAGTCTATTTGAACTAATGGCACCTTTACTTCGCTGGGCATACAGTCTCTAAAGAACCCGATCTGATACTCTGATTTTCTCGTGTTGAGCCTTGTCGGTATGGCCCAGCTATATTCTTCGGGTTCTGTTCGCAGTGTGATGACGATGAGTTAATGTGTGTATGTGTCCCACATATTTCCCAGTCCCTACTACTAGTCGAGAAATACGTATTTTCTTCCCCGCCGAGACCTCTTGCAGCTGTTGCCCATAGCGATGGTACCCGCAGCTCGACTGCTATGAGGCAACCCCCCCAAACATCCAAGCGAAGTACAGCGGAGCGCAAGCTGAGCTTTTGCTCACTTGTTGGTATCCAGAAAGGATCCTGGGTGGTAGAGGCTGCATGGTCGCATTTTTCGGGGGTCAAAGCTAACTGAGGAAGGCATGAGTTAGAAAGATCCCTGAACCATGTCGGCCAGTGGCAGTGCGCGGCTTTTTATACCTTTTTGAGCACATCACGGGGAGGGCTTACTGTGGCGGAGCTGGAATGCATATGTTTGCTTTTCATCACATCTCATAAGAGCGACAACTCCCTTCAGAGCAGGTCTTTGCTGACTTGATAAATTTTGTTAGAAGGTTGCCTAACTGCAGATTTTTGTTTTGGGCCCCCGGAAAGAATGAGCACATCTTGGAAGTACAACTGTTCAGGCCCATCTCCCGAATGGATCGCCAACAGTGATATCACAGGCACCGGTGTAAGCCTATTCCGAAGAGAGCACAAGGCTAGTCTAATCTGCATCCTACAGGTTGTCTTCAGCTACATCATAACAGCCGGAATAGTGGTCGTGGTTCTTGCACTATACTACTTTGTCGCATATGATCCCTCTCATGATCCATTTCAAGGGTCCAAAAGGAACAGTGTACCCAGGGCCTTTTACCCTAACCCAGTGGACGCACTTATACTCGAGGACTCGAGACGTATAGCAATGGCTTGTCTGGGTGCATTTGGTTGCATTTCCATCAATAATACCAGTTTTGAGGAAGCATTCATCAGGGTTTCTCCTCTCCTCTAAGCTTCCATGGTTATTCTTCTGTCATGCTTTACTGACGCGGGTCATAACCATAGTGTATCATCGCATTCAGTGACATGCAGCTCTTGACTGGATATTCGATACTTATCAGTGGTTTTTCGCAGCTTCGCTCTGGTCTACAAACATTCTACTGGCAAGTTGTCATAGGTCTGACCTGGTTCTCTACCATTACACATCTTTCTTGCCTGACGGCGTTGCGCAATCACCTTTATCTTCACTCCTCTGAGCGTACATGGCGGCTAGCTGCCATGGCTATATTGTGCGTTCTCTTGGCGATTGGCCTAGGATTTACCGCAAACTATGATTGGGCCTTTTTTGGCGGCGGGGACGAACCAAATTACGGGGATGCTGCAATATGCTATATTCGAATCAGATCGCCATTGGGACACGCTTTCTATACTATGCTATTCTCGGTCCTGCTTATAACCTTTTCATTCGTGGTGCGCATTGTCAAGCTCTATCGATTCCTTTCAGTGGATATCTTCACCAGGGCAAGGTCGAGGGTCAAACACTGGACATATACAAGCTTACGGATCGTGCATGACTGGTCAGATGCATCAGCCCAGCCGCCCAGCTTGATATGTATGATCTGCTATTATCCATTATTAGCAGCTAAGCTATCGGCGGATCTGCTTGTCGATGGATGGGCGTCTGTCTTCATGGAGGCTAGTTGTCCTTCCCAATTCCCCGCTTGTTTCTAACGCGATCTGACATCAAATACAGATCTTCTGGGTAGCTGTGGCCTATTCCTGGGGTATTTATCGGTTGATTGCCGCGCTTCAGATGACATGGAAGCCGACTGGATTTCTCAATGGGTCGAGCGATTGGACGTTTGGCCAGGTTATTGCGATGCTACTGCTCGCCGGGCCCCTCATAACGATAGTGGAATCATTTCAATCCGATACTGGTGGGTAGAGTTCGGGAGTCCAGCACAGAAGGGTCCTAATACTAGACACAGGGCAAGGAAAATACCATCCTACGGGAAATGCGACCCACGGGCTCTCCGCGCAAAATGTACCCACGGGACAAACAATGATTCCTGCTTCCGGTAGATCCAGCCCTATTCTCGCATCATCCAGAAATAGTCGGCTTCCTGGGCATGCCACCTGGCGCTCATATCGCAGCATTCTACGTATGTCCTGTGTCTATTGCATGCTGATGTCATTGCCAATGTTGGGACTTTTTATTTTTGCTGCTATAGGAGAAGGTTCTTTCATAGAAGGATTTATCATGTTGGGCGCGGGTCGTTCATGTTACTTCTTTCTCTTTATTCCACTGATTGGCCTTTGGGAGATGATTCTCTTGTCGCTCGCATTCGATGAACTATTGAATGGGCGGAAGCGATGGGAAAGAGTTACCCTGTGCCTTCTTAATGTCTCTGTCTGCCCTTCCTGTTATCTATCCTGGATGCTATTGTTTTGTCGTTTTGGCGGAAGCGCGAGTATTGTCTGGCTAGGTGTTATGCAAGCAACGCTCTTTGTTGTCTATGGCCTTGTTGTAACTCTGCGTGCAGTCCTCTCTCGCCAATAGCGCAAGCGGCTTTCACAAGCCATTCCAGGACAGTTCGATATCATTGCAGAGGATACCGGGATCAGTGTTGTCAAATATCAGAGTATTTAAAACAGGTCAAAAACCAAGCTCTTAATAGTTATATTAGGGACAGATACAGTAGTTTCTTATGTTCTAGAATTAAAATTCAAATCAGACATAAGCATAGTGTCTCTTCATGAATCACATTAGTATCACAGGCAGATCTAGTCACCTGCCCAGTAATTACAAAATTTTATACTCTGTAGTTTTTTATATTTTTTGTTTGTTTTGATTTTTGATTTTTGTTTTCTGAATTAGACCATTTTATTTCTCTTATCAGTTGATTATCTATTAATATATAATTTTAACATAGCAGTCACAGGATGAGGTGTGGGAGACTGAGGTCTCACATCAGGGACAGTGGCAGTGGCAGGCTAGCCAAATCATCTTGTAGTATTTGTAGTGCTTGACTAGATAGTCTCCCCGAGTAGAATTCCGCTGACTAGTCCTCCACCGCCTAATCCTAGGGCAGCTGCAACTTTCTTCCCTAAGCTTTTCTTCTGCTTCTGGTTGTGGGGAGGCTGGGATGGATCATAGGTGTTTTGGTATGGATTGAGATACTGATTCGGATATGCAGGGTACGGGGAATAAGTAAGGTTGTGATTATAGCCGTTGTAACTGTATTGTGGCTGCTGGTAGCTTGTGTATCCTTGTTCTGGGTTTGGCGCGTAGGCAGACTGTGATGAAGGCTGTGGAGTGTACACTTCCGGTAGATTATGGTCATCTGGAATCGAATCTCCTTGGCCCACTGGTCGATGGCGTGTAGTAGTAGTAGCAGCCTCACGACTGGGTGGGGGGCCGGCAGGAGGTGGAACGGGTCCAGCAGGCGGGGCTGGCTGGTCTGGTCGTTCCCAGTGGGACTGTCTGGTATGGATATTGATATAGTACCTATTATAGTGTAGTAGGGCCGTCAGTGGCTGTTCATACAGAGATGAAGTAGCAAAGGAAGAAGGAAGAGAAGAGTTTTATACCTACCATGCTTGATACCGATCGTCAAATTCGGCTTTCCAACCCTCGGGTACAGAGGGAGTAGGCGGAGGCATATGGACGTTGATCGAATTGATGATGCTCAAGGGGTAGTACCAGGTATGGCAGTCCGCAAATTGTAAGCAGAATATGGCACAGGGGTAGATAGATGCAATATAAATAGGGAGGCGCTATAGCTACATCAGCAAATCCCACGTGATGGTAGGCAACCACACACGCATGACTTAGACCTCGCCAAACCCCTCCCATGCCCTTGGGTACTATCTGCATACGGGCACCCAGCGGCAGATTCAGGATTTTAGTGCAATAGTGTGAGACTCCAACCAGAAAATAGTTGGGTCAGCCTCGCAGCGGGATCCCGATACTGAAGGAGCTCCTGCAGTTATATTTTAACAACTGATATCCATAAATCTGTTGATATCTCTTTCACTAAGTCTGATATCAGACAATCTTCATTATCTCATCATTCTTTCGAGTAGAAATGAAGGCTACGTTTGTACGCCGCCAGTAATTTTGTGGGAAGAGATTCAGCTGAAGCATCCCCGCTTGTCCTTGTTTCGGATCAGACCTCCAACCTATGTAAGCTCCCTTCTGCTAAAAGCAAAAATAAAACGATTGGATCTTGGAAAACAAGCATAGGAAGTAGCGCTAGGATTGCCTGGACCCCACTCCCTTTTCTTGGCCCTGGTCTCTCAGCTCACTCGAATGGCTGAGAGGGAACGGACGTGACTTAAAAAGGAGGCTGGGCACGTAGATAAGCAACTTACTTAGTAGATTGTGGAAAGGCCGAATAACCAATCATACCGTTCCATAGTGGCACAGGCCGTTCTCGGGGTCGGGGGATAGAAAAGGAAGAAGGAGATAGAAGGATGATCTCACTTTACCAGCCCCAGCATCTCTAAGCTTAATCTTCTTAAGGTGTTTGCACATTCCTGCCCAACCATACTAGCTTCTTGGGAGTCTCTGACCTGCTATAGACAGCATTCACTGAGAAGCATAATTGAAAGCAGGCCATGAGCGCTCCCGACTACGCCTTGGCAAATTACTTTTCTGAACCCATAGGTTACCCACCAAGATCACTAAGCAAGGCAGACTCGCCAGGCATAAAACAAAGTCTATAGAGGATATCTTTTTGCCTAGACCAGTCAGGGCTACTATCAATCTAGTTAATGTGGCGCTCTGGTTGATTCAAATATACCTAAGCTTTTAATGGATGGTTAGCTCGGGATACCAGTCTTTTACTAAATAGCCTATCAGTCAATCTCCAGAATATTCACTGCTTCAAGCGCACTAGGTGTGAGAGTCTGGAATCTACTATATAGACAAACAGGAGCCTGAAGTACGTACTTCTAGTCATAATTATATTTTACATAAGAAAAGTCATTATATCATAGATTCTATATAACATCTATCTCTATAAAATAAGCTATTAAAGATTGTCAAGACGTAGAGAAAAACGTATGTGTATTCAATCTATCTAGAATTCAAAAAGGCGGGTGGTTTAGAACTGAAGAAGTGGTGGTCGGAAACCACGCAAGGAAGAAGAGGTGGCGGAGGGGCAGCTGACACCTGCCTGACTGCAGTAAATGTCTTAGCATAAATCTTTATTCAAAAGGCTGCTAACTGTGCCTGTACAATATCGAATATACGTAGTAAATATACAGACTTTCTTGATAAGCTTATGTCATCGTAGTTTCCAGGATCTTGTAAGGAGCACTTGTTTTAGTGAACTGGGTGCCAACCAAGAATGCCTGGCTTAGTCGCTGTTGGTCACATTTCAGGTTTCGCGTTGCTCACCTACGATCTCATCAATTATGACCCCCGGGGCGCACTAGGCTGATGTTGAGTGGAGTTTGTCCGTTGTCGATCGCCCCCCACCTCAGGTTGAGTGTGTCTCCTGTCCTGAATTCGTTTTGTGTGAAGTTATAGAATGTCCTAGGTTTGCAGTTAACAAGGCCGTGTGTGGACATTACTAGCCTCCACAGTGGGTAGTCGCTCGGGCCAGGCTCTAGAATAGGGTTCGTCGCTCATGACGGGGGAAAGGCCTCGAAATGATATCCAGATCATTAAGCCGGCCGGCTAAGCCCATGGAGACAGAGTATGACAATACTTCTAATATTAGTCGGTTCTTGATTAATGCAGACATCCAGGTTCGTTTGATATTCGCCAATCAGACTCTCAATATTGAGCAGAATGTCTGGTCTGCGTGACGCGGGCTTAAAACTCCGACATCAGCTTGTGCTACTCAAAAGGGGGGTGTCTCCTCACACGGCCGCTTCAGCCCGCGCTGGGCTCAGAACATCCCTGCGGCTGTTTGGAAGACATCACAATAATTGGTGGTCGAGGTCGATCACTACTCTTGTCAATCAGCCGGTTCGCACACGGCCCTACGCCGTCCGTGCCGGACTGAGTCCGTTCTGCGACGGTCCGTTGCTGTAAGCGCCGGTTGGCTTAGATTGTGGTTCCGGCTGCGTTAGTGCTACACTGCCAATTTATAGCACTCACATCTCAATCAAGCAAACATGTTTAGCGTCAGGAACTGCGAGCTGGTGCTTTACTCATACGGGCATGGGTCATCCGCAGATTAATTGGACTCGCTGGGTGATTGCCTGGGCACTGCGGAAAATAGAAAAGCGTTATGATCCCCGCTGCGTCAATTCACCCATTGTCATGACTGCGCCATGCGCAACCTTTCAGGACTTTCTTATTCTTATTTATCTTCACCTGAGACATGACTTCTCCAGCCTCTCATTAAATCACTACAATGGCAGCCCTCCGATCACAACATCGGCGACGGATCGCTCTAATCATACTAGGAATACTTGCCGTTTTCACCTGGACTTTCGCAGCGTCACGATCGCAAAGTGCCAACAGAGCTACCAGCCATGAACAATTCTGGTCTGAGTTTTACCCTATACTCATGGCCTCAGAGCCCTACTCCAATTCTCCAACAAGAGTCGCAAACGCCGATTCTGTGGGATTCGACCCCAAGAACACCGATCCGCTACCTGACCTCCTGCGCCTCTCCAAAGAGGACGTCTACGCCATGAGACTCTCACACAGCAAGTTCGTCGGCTTGATTGATCAAATTCCACCGAGCCTACACTACCAACCACACACTCGCGGCCTTGTCTCGACAGCCGGCGGGTCTTACCTCCCCGTCCTCGTTATCTCCCTGCGAATGCTTCGCCGAAGTGGCTCGACGCTCCCGATGGAAGTCTTCCTCGCCAGCTGGGATGAGTACGATGGTTATGTGTGTCAAGTTGTACTTCCTTCTCTGAACGCGCAATGTATCGTTCTGTCCGAGATTCTCGACGCCATTCCCGACAGCAGGTCCATCGAGAAATATCAATACAAAGTCTTTGCCATGATGTTCTCCTCATTCGAGGAGATCCTCTTCCTAGACGCAGATGCATTTGCTCTTGAGGACCCGGAAGTGTTATTTAGATCTGAACCTTTTATTTCAAAAGGTCTAGTCACCTGGCCGGACTTCTGGCGACCAACCACATCACCACTATACTACAAGATTGTATCACAGGATGAAACCGCACCCGGCAAAAACAAAAAGCAGCGCCAACACCAACACCAACAAAATCCCGCTACAATTCGCCAATCCACAGAATCCGGCGAGCTTCTCCTCTCCAAACGAACCCACACACGCACCCTCCTCCTCGCCGCATACTACAACTTCTACGGCCCCAGTCACTACTACCCTCTCCTTTCACAAGGCGCCGCCGGCGAAGGAGACAAGGAGACCTTCATCGCAGCAGCAATCGCCCTCAACGAGCCCTTCTACCAAGTCAGCGAGCCCATCCGCGCAGTGGGTAGAGGAACGCCCGATGGCTTTGCAGGGTCCACAATGGTCCAATACAATCCAATAGAAGATTATGCGTTGACCAAGAAAGGCGAGTGGCGCGTCCGGGGCGCATCCGTACCATCCCCACATCCATTCTTTGTCCATGTCAACTTCCCCAAATTCAATCCGGCTACGGTGTTTCATGATAACGGGCCTGTCGTTGATGAGCGAGGGAGGTATACGCGGGCGTGGACGGCGCCGGATGATGTGGTGGAGGCATTTGGGGGGAAGAAGACGGAGAAGGCGTATTGGAAAGAAATTTTGTGGACGGCGTGTGCGCTGGAGGGTAAGAGCATTAGTTGGAAGGGGAGGGATGATATTTGTTCCAAGACGGCGGATTATTGGAGTTCGGTTTTTGAGGGGATGGAGGGGGTGGGTCTTGCTTAGGGGGTTTAATAGCATAGTAGTACCTACTGAGTACTAGTTGTCCATGAAGTCTTGTGCTGGTTACAAGAGGTGAATGGGTTGTATATAGCATGGAATATGTTCGGGTGTTTGTAATTGATGTCTTATAAGGTCACTACTGTGGACTTGTTTTATAACCCGTTTTTTATTTACGGAATCTGGAGAGTGCCTTTTACATGAGGTTTCATAGATACTGCTATTAGATACTATGACTGATGCTCTTTCGAGCGTCTAACATAAAAAATTAAGAGGAATTACCGGTCATCTTGACAAGAGGTGGATTTGATAGGCCGCTACAGTTGATCATGCTGTCTATATATTCTATAGCTTGGCTTCTATCAAGACTACTAAGTAAGCTTATTGAATGGCTTACTGGACAGCTACTACTAGATTTTGAAATGGTAATATATATTACAATGGTGCTACGGCATATATCTAAGTACCAAGCCGACTATATGCTACATACTACCTAGTGATAGGTAATAGTATATATGCGACACAATGACACAATCACTAATTTGTACCATACATAATCACAAGTTACTATAAACCAAGCCTGCATTCTGGCCTAGCAGGGCAAATATATGAATGCTCTATAGACAGTATGAGTAATGGAATGATTCGTATATGACAAGCGGAATATAGTACATTTTGTTATCAAAAGTGAATCATGGCTCTATAGCTTCAATTGGATGTTATCCTTCTGAATAGTAATCCTGAAGGTATCGTTATTTGGCAGAACATTCTTCACAAATGAATACTTGGGTACTAATTCCTACCTCGGCGTGACATGCTTTAACTTAATTCCAATTGCTATAGGTTATCATACGCAGCATTCGAGATTGATCATACCAAGTGTCTGCGAAATTGGACGACCTACTAATTGAAGTTCTTCCTTTGATCTTGTTGGTATATACTTGCGTGTGTACCTGCCAGCTGACATTCCTCAACCTACTCAATAGACTACCCTATCATCCTATTAATATATAGCAAGATTAAGTAGTACCTTCGTATTTCAACCCCAACCGGTCCTTATTCATTAAAATACGCTCTACTTATTCCAATTCCGTCTAGACCACTCATAGCTACGATGTCCTTTTCATCCTTCAATTTCAACACCACTAACAGCAGCAGCAGTAGTAGAAATTACTCTCTACGCGTACGTCATACCAGCCATGCACGTCAGGAATGGGCATGTCAGTAGTAAAAGCTACGAGTAGAGTAGATCTAAGCTTCAGCATTCCTCCGCCGTTACAGAATCCCATCAAACATCAGTTGATCGACTCTATACCTACCTGACTCATCACCTTAAAATTGTCGGGCTGACATACCAGCGCTGCGAAATTATCCGCGCCAATCAAGGACAAGTATTCACAGATGTCCGGATTTAGTAGTTAGTAGACGTTGTCGCATGCGGACATGAAACAACTTGATGGGAGGTTTGATAATTCCCTTCCCCTTCAACGCCCCCGTTCCTCCCCCGTTACCTCCCCATCATATACGGGAGGAATGCGGGCTGGCCGTTAACGGAAAGGGGGAGAAAGGGAGGGAGGGAGGGGCCGAACCGAGGAGAATGGACGGTCAGGTCAGTCAGCGACTTCGGTCGGTCAGCTAGTCATTTTATAAATTAGATAGTTAACTAGCTAGTCAGGTATGTAAGTAATTATGAAGATGCCCGTGCGTGATGGGGGTGGAAAGCAAACAGGTAATTTTAAGCCTCTCTTTTTGTCTGCCCGGTTTGGAGAGGGGCAGACCACTAGGTTAGGTATGGGTCGGCGGCTGTTGGACTAACATGTCGCTTACTGGATTGGTAAGGGTAGAGTTGTGTGTGTGTATGCTCTGCGGGGCTCGGGGACTGAACGCTGAATGCTAGACTAGGGAATGAGAGACAGAGAGAGGATACTACTCCGTAGTCCCCGAGACATCATGGGAAGAAAAAACCACCACGCACACCTGCTCCGTGCTTTTAGGCAACAGATCCCGGGAAGCGAAAAGCAGCACTAGGGGAAGTCGGGAGTGGGAGTGGGATGCGCTTTTCACGGCGCGCCGGATCCGACGAGGCCGGTTAGATAGGTAGACTGGATGCTATTCACGGGTGTACTTAAGTAGACACTATTGGAAACCAAATGGGGCAGATCTAGTCGGAGATCGTTAAAGGCTGACTGAGTGACGGAGTATTCCGTCGCCGGAGAAAGGAAAAAAAGAGGAGTCAGAGAGTCATGACCCTGCAGTGGAATTCGGTGCGAGGTATTTAGTCGTACGATGGATCCAAAAGTGATAAGCAAATGTGATGACCAAAGCGCATGCTGCTGGGGGAGTTATTCGGTCGGAAATGTATCAACCACCCCCGGCACATCTGATGCAGCAACAGACATAACTACAGTACAGTATTTACTGTGTTGTGATGCAGGTCAGTGACTTGGCTGGCTACACCTACCCCTATCAGTGGCTCTGGGAAGTGCTTTAGTGTAGGATGGATGCTTGTTTAGCGTCGGCGGTAAGTCTCGACTCAGTCGGATACTTGCCTAATTGGGCAAGGCGTGGGCGTGCCTGGCTCTCGGACGGTCGAATAACGGCACTCCATCGCCATTCGGCCTATCATTGCTGTGGCTGAGTTGGGTTGGACCAATGGCAAGGATGATATGCACGGATCATCCGCGGGTCCGTCCTGGTCTTTTCCCGGTCGGGTCTAGACGAGGTTGCACAACTGGCAGTAAGTAAGTAGTCTAGCACAAGCAGGTACCTCGCCCATTGTGAGGCAGGAGTCAGGTACGAGGGAAGTACGCTGTGTGTACCTGCATATACGGTATCCAGTCGATCAATGTGGTAAGATGGAAAAAAGAAATTATACTCCGTCTTCAACCTCCAGATGCATGCTTGTCTCTCTCTTTTACTTTCTTTTTTTTTTTTCTCTCGGCTTTCACTATCCCCGGATTTGTCTTGCCCTACCGTAATAATAGCACCCGTTCATGTGTTCGTAGGAAGGTGCCAACGATTAATTAATTTAATAAATTAATAGATTCGGCGATAGAATCCAGATGGAAGACTAGCCCCCGACTAACCGCCTCAGTAGTCTGTAGTCTGTACAAGTCAGCACGAGTGCCGAACAACGCTTCTCCACCCCCCCCCCCCCCCCCCTAGCGCTGTCATCCGCAGTGGTCCAATCAGGACTTATGTGATGGCGAGAGGGGCGGGTACCTGGACCGAATCACCAGGGATAATGGTGGAAGTGGTCGGCACGGGCGGAGTGCAGCGCCAAAGATCAGTGAGTGATTTGCGCTGAACGACAGAAATATGGGTAGAAAAGCGAGGGGGATCAAAGTAAATACGGAAGAAAATCGAGGCCAAAGGATATTAATAGAAACCCAGCACGTCGACAGCTCCGGGATTACGGTTGTACCTGAGAGGGTGTAAGATTGGGAGGCCACTCATACGGCTGGCCAGAAAGGCAAAATGAGGTCAGTCACCTGCTGGAAGCGGTAAAGTCCCTGATCCTCTTTCTGTGGACAATGGCCGGAGAGGCCCGAACTGCCCTTACCCAAGTCTCCCACCAGCGCCAACCTCTTCCCACTCGCGCCCTGAATTGTGCGGTTCGCCATCCATGGTTCCAATCCTGAAGCTGTTATGGGTAAAGCAATCAGTTAGTCAGGACTCAGAAGTGTCCCCTTTCCCACCCATGGTGATGCGGTGCCCGGTGACGGAACCACGGCCCTGGTTCTGCGGTTCGATTCAGGAACCGGGTCGAGTGGCAGGTCGCTTCTTGGGGTAGGTTTCTTGGCTCCGCCTCTTTTTTGTCCTCTTTTCTTTTTTTCCTTCCCTCTTCCCTTCTCTTGATTTTTTTTCTTTACTTCTTTTCGCTTTGCTTTCCGGTCCTGATTCGGCAAAATTATGAGGTCACTCCACCACCTGAAACCCTTTTGTAGCTTGTCAATCGTCGGGCGCTTATGCGATCCCGTCCGGGCTTTGGAACGGTCCAGGTCACGTTGTGTCTGGTTCGCTACCCCTGGTTGTATCCGTAGTCCGATCGCTCGGTGGGTTCGCCTGCACGATGTTTCTGGAGGCATGGAGGTAGACAATACATGACTTAGTTGCTGGTCCCTACATAATTGCATCTAGAAATGACTGGGATCGCGAGCATGGTAGCTATTTATGGCTATAGATGGTCGAAGGGGATGATGCTCCGATTCGGCTGGGTTGGTCGTTGCCTTGCTTAGGCACACAGTTCCGAGTTTCCTATGCTGGGTATCTTCTGCTGAAGCGACGCAGAGTGACTGACTACGGAGGGGGAAAGTACGAGCAGAACCTAATCCATCCTGAGGTCGCAGTCTTCAACGTCCACATCCATGCAGAAAGGCACGGATGAGAATGCTTATTGGATGGCTGGAATCCCAAACAACAACGTCGGGCAGCAGGTGCAGATGCCGCGACTGGATGCAGGGGCTAAAACAAGGCGGTGGGTGTGGGTGGAGGGCGGTGGTGGTCTTGTAACATTCTGGTCCTGCTTCAAGCCATGTGAAATTCTGTAACAACCCAGATGTTTTATCCCCTCCGGATGGAGTAGTAGCAGCAGCATATCCTGACCATAAAAATCTCATTTCGATCAACAATGTCTAGATCGTGGGAGAATAAATACTCAAAGGATTTGGTTGATCCTGAGAGATGTGAATTAGAGGAAAGGGAAAAGAGGATTGATTTTCAATGCTCTGAGTGAATTGAGCTACGGTGATTACTTACTCCTTGACTCACAACTACTACTACTTCTTGGAGCTGCCTCGCCAAAAAAATTCTATACCAGGAAAATTACATCGATCATTAATAATAAAAGAAACAAATAATCCGAAAAGGAAATAATAGGAAAAAGGAAAAGGGAATAAAAGGGCAGAAAAAAATAAAAAGGAAAAAAAGAGAGGCGGCCAGCCCCACGGAGAAAGTCAGGAACAGCCGGTGCCAAAACAGTCCAGCGCCAACTACTGAACCCGCTAACCACTTTGGGCCCTCCCCCATCCCATCTCCTGACCGTCGCGCTCGCTCGCTTTCTCCTCTGCCTCCTCCACCCGTTTGTCTCTTCTTCTTCCCTTCTTCTTCTTTCCTCCCTTTCCCTTCCTTCCCACCGACCATCTTCGCATCTTTCTTTCCTTTCCCATTCACTCTTTTTTGTGTTTTTCACCCCTTCCATTCTTTCTTTCAACTACATTCGCTCGCTTCAGTCGATCGTTTCACTCTTTCACGATCTATTTCTCAATCTAGCTGTATCTTCGCTTACCTCAGGGCCGCCCATTGACGCAGACCTTCGCCATTACCAAACACCGGCCCCCCTCCGAATCTGTACCGATCTACTTTTGATATCTCAATCTCACGTACAGCCTCCCCCATTACGGTTGCGAAGAGCAAGGATCATATTTCCCTTCCAAGCTGCCTAGGTCAGCTGTTTATATTATTCCCACGACATTTGATTGCCCTCTCATCCCGACGCTTCTGCGACGCGCTCATCTTCTCTCTTGCGCTTTGCTTCATCGGAACTCTCGACTCTCGACGTGTTTCCAGCCAAAGCGCTTCCATTCGTTTGACATTATCCGCATTCTCTGGCGCTTGACGCTGCTTCAGAGATCCGGAAACTCCCCTCCCCAATCCTCATTGACTGTCGGCCGGATCGTCACACCACCCATACTCCTTTTCCTTCCACGGAATCTCCTTTCTACGAACTTGGTCGTATCGCATTTCCTACCATTCAACTTCACTCAATCCCTGCAAACATGTCTTCGACAGACACTCCTGACCCTTCGACTACGTCGAACTCTTCCTCCAACACCGCTTCTACCATGACTTCGTCTTCGTCGACTACTTCGAGCCCGTCCCCGGCCATGTCCAATTCAACCACGGCCGCCTCCGCTTCAGCACGTCGACCTCAGCGGAAGAGCACGCTGACCCAGCAGCAGAAGAACAACAAGCGCCAACGGGCGACTCAGGATCAACTGGTCACCCTCGAATTGGAATTCAACAAGAACCCGACTCCCACGGCAGCCACGCGCGAAAGAATCGCCCAAGAAATCAACATGACTGAGCGGTCCGTCCAGATCTGGTTCCAAAACAGGTTTGTGATCCTTACTGTCATTCCTTACCTGCTGCTAACCGAATCCGTAGACGCGCAAAAATAAAGATGCTTGCTAAGAAGAGCATCGAAACGGGTGAAGGCTGTGATTCTATTCCCGAGTCGATGCGCCAGTACCTGGCCATGCAATTCGACCCCACTAAGCCCGGTGCAAGGGACCCCTTTGGGCGCACGGGTGGATACGGAACCGGTGGTGTTTATCCCCATGAGTCGGCTCCTTCTGGCAAAGTTGGTACGTTTAAATCTGCTATTGCTATTTTGCGATGAATACTGACAATCACAGTTATTCATCACTTCACCTGTCGTTCCTTGACTATCGGTAGCTGGCGACGTATCGGACAGAACGCGATGGATCTGGTGGTATTCTATTCCCCTGAGAAGGCCTGCATGACGTACTACATCAACAACGATTCTGCTGGATACAAGATCGAGTACCCGTTTGCCTACATCAAGAACATCACACTGGAGTCGGGCGACCAGACTCCTCAGGCAAACGGTGCGCCCCCGCGACCTGGCGGTCTTGTCGTTGAGCTGAACCGTCCCCCGCTGTTCTACATGGACTCCTCCAACTCTGGCGGATTCTACCAGTGTGGTGACTTCACCGAGGATCAGCAGGCAAGCCAAATCCTGGTCCACCATCTCGGGGGACATCCCAAGGTTCTCAGCGTGCAACTTGCCAAGCTAGTGTCCCTGGAGTCCTTCCAGAACCGCCTTGCGTACAACAACTTTGCCATGAACCCGCCCATGTCTCCTCCGTTTATCCAGCGTCCTGCATCGCAGCCGAATCAATTCGCTCCGGCCTTCTTGAGCGTGTTCCCCGAGAGCCATGCTCACCTGAACATTCCCGCGATGCGCGGACACAAGCGCCAGAGGAGTCGCTCAGTTCCGGTAGCTGTCGACTTCTCTGCCATGCAGGCTCCTCTTGCCCACTATAACATGCCCCAGACTCCGGCTCAGTTCAACCATGCGGATACGGGTATCTTTGCTCCCGTTCCCCAGTCGACTCATCCTTTGGCTGTCAACCTTCGGATAGATACCTCTGCCTCCTATGGGTTCGACCCGCGGACACACCCCATGTCTGCTACCACGACAGCTTCCCCATCAGACTTTGCCAGCCCTGGGCTTTTCAGCACTGGAGCCGGCGGTGACTCAACTCCTGTTGCTACCAACATGGGGACCCCCTTCAACCTTCCCTTCGTCTCGCCCGCTGTTGACTCAACCGTGGCGTCCCAAGCATCTTATTCTAACGTCAGTCATGCCGATCCTATGATTGCGAACCATTCTCCTCCATTGTCGAACATCTCGCACGCTCCCCAAGATATGTACGGTCTGGGTAACGAACATCAGCCCAACTACACGGATGATGGCATGTCCATGAATGGGATTTATCCCAAGCATAACATGAACTTCGCTGTTCCGGCTTCTATGGGTCTTGAGACCAACACATACGATCTACCCATGCAGCCCATGTCCGGCCATACATCCCCCGGGGTCCATGGCGATTTCCAGAGCCTGAGCCTGGAGAACGTTGATCCCAACGGCATGGCCCCTGGCTCCTGAAGCCAGAACATGCTATGACCCGTATTGACGTTGGCTGTCTTCGGCCATCGGCCTAGCCATATCTCTATCTACCCTTGGGTAGCACCGCACATTGGCGCGGATCTTCAAATCTCCGCATCTTCAATGTTTCGAATTTTCCTGGCCACTGGTCTCGAGTACCTCCACTCGGACTGATGAGATACCCAGACATCCGCGTGATGTATGGCCAATCGACGATGACGGGAGGATGTATCCTTTCTTGATTATGTTCTCAGCGTCTTCTGTATTAATAACCTTCTCCGGGGCTGGTCCTGAGCGTTCATTCGCATTTCTCATTTCCCAGCAGGCTAGCTGGGCTTTTCATCTTCTTCTCTGCCCTGACCATTTTTCTTTTCATTTTGTTTATACCTGGCCAGGGTTTAACGTGGTTATGCCAGAAAGTCAGACAGATGGCGACATTCGGTTATTTTCTTGGATTCTTCTGGGTTGGCGGGTTAGGAATCGTTTGCTCATTTCCCTTTGTGATGGTTATTTATCGTCCTGAGATTGGCGTCTGCATATTTTGCTTGAAGCAATCCTGTCATGTAGCACATTGATAATGGTGCCACTATCGAGGCGGAGCTGAGACAACCTCCGTCCGGATTGTGCGCACGGCTGATATGGAGACATTTCTCAGGTCCAACCTGAACCATGAAACACCACCAACTGCCCCACGCGCTGTTCGTAGCGAATACATTCATAAAACAGTAGTGTCAATCTATCGACTCGCGCATAGTTACAGTAGTATACAGGGGTATCGTATTATAATCAACCAGATAATTCAACCAAAAACTTCCTACCGATTCTCCCACCCCTTCGGCACCGGCGCCTTCAACCCCCTCGACTCCCTCAAATACTTCTCAACCCAAACCTCCATCTTCTCCAACAAATTCATCTCCCTGCCCCCCTCAGTCACACCATCCCGACACCAAACACTCCACGACCCCATCTCCACCGCCATCAACACATCCGTCCCCAACCGATCCCCCACCACCGCAATCTCATCCGCGCGACTCACCACCCCCCTCTCCCGGAACCACTCCAGCACCTCCCTCCCACAAAACGGCTTCTTCTCGCTCCCCTCAGGAAGCCGAAACACGGGTATCCGCAGCTTCCCCAGCTCCTTCTCCAGCTCGCGCACCTCTGCATCATACCGCGGGTGACTCCCCGCGCGGTTCGAGACGATCAGGATCGAGTTATCTGCCGTGAAGGGGGACGTTGGGGACGTGCGTAGCGAATGCAGCTTCGATAGGATCTCGGATGGGAAAGAGGTGGTTTTCGGGTGGCAGAGTGTGTTGTCTTTGTCCAGGACGAGGGCCCGGATGGCCGGGGGTTTTTGGGCGTTGGGGTGGACTGCTGGGCCGAGGTTTTCGGGTAGGTGGGTGATTGTTGGGATGGTGAGGTGGGGGAGGAAGTTGGACGGGGTTTTTAGGAGGGTTGAGACGGCCAGGTTGAAGGCGCGGAGGTTGCTGTTGGGGGGTTGCATGGCGGATTTGGGAGGAGGATTTGGGAGGAGGTGGTGGTGTTGTTTAGTGGGGTATGGTTTTAGTAGTGTGGTGGTTTGTAGATCTTAATGCATAGTAGATCTAGATCTATTGTTTGAGGGGTGGGAAGTGAGAAGAGAATTGGTGCTTAATGTGTATCAGATTAATTGCTGGAATGGAAGCAATGAATAGATGATAGGAAGGATAAAATGGGAAGAAAGAAGACTAGTCTTGGCCGAGAAGTCTCCCGCACCGCAGAGCCGCAAAACTCTCCGCCGGCGGATCGCACGCGCCAGACACAAGACAACCTTCCCTTCCCTTGCCATTCTGTCTTCGTTTGACTGATTTAACACGCCTTTGAATAATAGTCAAGCTTCTTTTTCAGCTTGCTTTATATTACCTTCTCCGACTTTCATTCTCTTTTCCTCCACGGCTTCGCTAGAATCTCTCACATTCCGCAATGGGCAAGTTGACCAGCACGATCGGTATCCCGATCAAGCTTCTTAATGAGGCGCAGGTTGGTTCTATCCTTCCTTTTCTAAGCTATTGGCTTGTTATCTATGTATTGCGATTAAGCTAACGCTGGGATGGTTTGTATAGGGCCACGTCGTCACACTTGAGATCACGTCCGGGGTTGTCTACCGTGGAAAACTCCTAGAGGGTGCGTTCACACCCCTCCTCCTCCTCTGCCTCCTTTACACCTATCCATCCTTTCCAATACAACAATCTCGAATTACTTCCATAACTGACTGGTTCTGCTACAGCTGAGGACAACATGAACGTCCAACTGAAGGATATCACGGTCACCGCGCGCGACGGCCGCGTGTCACATCTTGATCAGGTGTACATTCGGGGAAGCCATGTGAAGTTTTTCATTGTGCCGGATATGCTTAGGTTCGCTACCACCATCTCTCCCTCTTACATGTTTATTGGGCATTGGGGTATGGGCAATGCTAACTCATATCGTATAGGAACGCTCCCATGTTCCGCTCACGAGGCCAGCGCGGTCGCGGTGTCGGTCTTGCTCGTGGTAAGGCCACGGTGCAGAGGGCGAGAGGACAGAGACGGGGTTAAAAAACGATATGGGGATACTAGTGGATGGATGGATGGTGCGGCGTTACTATTTTGTTCTATTCGAGTTGCTTTCTGTGTGTCTCCTTTTTCGTATCTATAAACTTGTCTTGTCTCGTATTGGCTTGGCTGTCTGGGTCGTCGGGTCTGATATCATATTAAATACATTGAGTTGATTGGGTTATTGGATTTCCTGGGGGTGTTGATGGAGGGTATGTGATTGTGGCAGTGCTACTGGGTTTTCGTAGGGTGTACCTTGGGAGGATTAGGGTGTAGTGATGAGACAGATACAGCTAGCTAGCTAGCTGATGTGATAGGTTAATATCAATACCAACGACACGAGCAATATCGAATACATCATTACAACATTGTGAATAACCCAAAGCATAAATTGTATTGCAAGAGGGCATGAAACATGGTAAGGAATATCAACACGAGATCAATCACTACTTACCAAACCACCTCTGAGCTCACTCCGCCGCCCTCCCCGCATCCCGTCCAACTTTCTCTCTCCTCCTCAACTCTTATCCCTTCACGATAAATACACAGCAACCCTACCTACACCACATACCTCGCCGCAAACAAACCCTCCCAAATCAACGACCGAAAATGCCACCCACGACATCCACATCAACATCAACCTCCAAACCAACCCCCATCCCCAACCCCCGCCGCCTCCTCATCCTCACCCCAACCACACACTCCCAATCCATCATCCCACCTCTCCTACACTCCCTGACAGGCACCCCCGTCACCACTCCTCCAACAGCGCCAGCATCAGCGTCACCAACACCAACACCCACCCTCTCCTCCGCCTCCACCATCGCCGCCTCATCCACCACCTCCCTCGCATCCAGCACGACCATCACCACCACATTCGCCGGCTACACCACGCACCCGCCCCTCCACCTCTCAAACAAGTACTACACAGCCGACGTCCCAATCTGGGTAGACGAGATTCCTCTCCAGACCCCCGAACCAACCCCCTCAGCATCCGGAAGCACCATCTCCCCCGCGCAATGGAAAGCCGAGTTCTCCAGCCCCGAAGCGCAAGTCGTGCGGGACGCTATCGGCGCCGTGATGATCTGTTTCCGGAACCCCGTGCAGATGGACCCCGTACCCGGCCAGGAGGAACAACAGCAGGAAGATGATGTGGAAGATAGGGATGATGTGCGCGGGCTGAAGGAGTTCGTGAGGGCTGTTGGAGAAGTGAGGGCGTTGATTGAGGAGGAGAGGGGTGGGGTTGGGGAGGTGCCCGGGTTGGTTGTTTTGGTGGGGGAGAAGACGAAGACAACGGCTTCTGGGAAGGTAGGTGGTGAGGATGAGGGTGAGGATGGGCTGGGTTTGGAGATTGATGAGGTGTTTTCGGAGGGGTGGTGGGAGGATCAGGTTTGTGAGATGGGGTTGATGGGTATGGAGGTTGTGAGGTGGGGTGGGAAGGAGGGAGAAGAGGAGGAGGTGGGGAGGAATCGGTATGGTGGTATGTTCATCTTTTTTCTTTTTGCTTTGCGTTTGGGGGTTATGTGATGGGTAGTGATGGTGTTGCTGACTTATGGGTGTAGAACTACAGGGCATGCGCCGGATTAAAGAGGTCTTGGAGACGCATGATTGGGCTGCGACGGAGGATGCAGAGACAGGGTTACTGAATGATGGGATTGATGACGATCTTGAGCGCGAGCTTTTGGGCTTGGACGATGCAGACAATGGGTTCGATTTGGAGGTGGATGAGCTGCAGCGCGAGATGGTTGGGTTGCGGATGGCGATTGAGCGGGGAGGAGGGGATGGGTTTGATGATGATGACGATGAAGGGGATGAGGAGTTGCGCGTCGATGCGGTCGAGGCGCTGTTGCTTCGCATGAGAGCCATCAAGGGTAGTGATGATTCCGTGTGTCTATAAGTGATGTTGGATGTTTGCTAACATGGTCATTAGATATCAGCGACGAGTTGCCCGAAGCGGAGAGGAAACGGTTTGCAGCAAAGGCCGTGCGTGATATCATGAGAGAGATGTAGTTGCCAAGTATATAGTGTACATTATATTGTGTATTATCATGCCGAGCTTATATCCATCTATACCATAGTACCACTATACCATACACATATACCCACATCTAACCCTTCACACCACTTATCTCCACCCCAATGTATCCATTCAACACACCTATTTCTTGCTCATCGCCTTGCGTCTCTGCTTAATCATATGCGTATACAAAATATACGATCCTAGCCAGATTAGCACACATCCTTCACAATCCCAAACCTCCAACCCCTCCCAAGAACAATGGTATAAACTCACCAGGAACATAAATCCCCAACACCGCAATCAAAAACCACCGATACAACGGACTCACCAACTCCCCGGCGGGCCCCAACGCCTTATACACCATAAGACACTCACTGGAGATACCAAGAGGATAAAGCACATAGAAGGTGTTATACCTGTCCCCCCAAACCACAACATTAGCATCAACACCACCAAACCCCATAAACAAAAAAGAAAAGAGAATCTCACCTCAACCAAGCCCACCACCCCGGCACCCCAACCCCGGACAACTGCAACGCAAAGAACCCATAGCGAATACACTCCGTCACGCCCCACGCGCCCAAACACCCCAAGAAGGCATAATCACCCAGCCCAACAACACCCTCCTGACTTTTCTCCCCCACAATGACACCCTGGAACGGATACATGATCCCCCAAACGAGCAGAATGCGACTAGCGACCTGCATAGCGGTGGTGAGGACAGGCGCGCGCACGAGACGGAGTAGACTGTGGATGATCTCCAGTAGGGCGAGGGATTGGGTTGTTAGGAGGAGGGGGTAGACGTTGGTGAATATTTGGGGGATGGTGGTGGTAGAGGAGAGGAGCTGCGAGAAGCCTCGGATTGTGCATGTTGCCCAGAGGGTGAGGGAGAGGGCGTTGTAGAGGAGGAGGTAGGGGCGAGATAGTCCCATCTTTTCTGGTTGGGTCCCTTGGGGGGTGGTGTATGTATGTATGTATGTACTGTTGTTGTGGTGGTGGTGGAATGGTTGTGGTGAAGGAAAGATGGGAAATTAAGTAGCGTAGCTAGATAAGTAGAAGGGTAGGTAGGGACTAGTGGATCGTTGGGACGCGTCGATCAGTGGTGAGGATTGGTTATGTAATCTCCCCCGGATTTTGTGCCGAGGATGTTTTATGACTGATTTTTGGGCTGTGTGGAATGTGGTGTGGTGGGTTTTATGGTCAATGCTTTTACGATTTTCTAAGGGTCTGCATCTCATACTTTTAATCATGATTCATCCTATAAACACGCTAATCAAGGACACAAATGCAAACACGCAGCTTCATGAAGCGAGAACTAGCCTCCAGCATGAGTCGGCAACGCAGTTGCCCTCGTCGTCCGCTGCCAATCAGGTCGTGACCGTACAATATCATGACATTCGTGATCCTCATCATCGCTATTGTAAATACTGTGCGAGAAAGGTATACCACTGAGAAGGTAAAAGGTTGCTAAATCGGACAGATGCTTCAGGCTAGAGCGGCCCTCCGGGTTCCCACGCCCAGAGAGCCTCGTAAAACAAAGGAATGAAAAGCTTCGTGATGACAAGGCGAAAGTACGAAAGCAAGGCGCTCGCTGATGCCGGGCTGGTGTCATAATCATAATGCCGTCATCTCAAAGCTCGTTACACGTCGTTTAGTTTGCGCGAATCACAAGTCGGGAGACAAATTTGTTGGATAAACAGTCGAAGTCATTGCGGTTGAACTTGGAACCATTGCGGCCCCGAAGATAGCTCTCTACAGGAATATTAGCAATGCACAGACGCACCAGAATTCAGTTTCGCACTTACCAAATTGCGTAACATGTTGGCGGACCTCGGTCATCGTGTTGCAGACATCGGGGTTCGAGTGCAGCAGGTGGTGGTGCTTGGTCGTCTCCCAGTCCGTAAACGCAGGCAGCTTCTGTGAAATCGCCTGGAACAGACCGACGATGACTCCCACCGGTGTGGTCTCCATATCATTGCAGAACTTATCAACAGCGGCAGCATCCTGCGACACGTCAGCATCACGGCTTGCACACACGTTCATTCCACATACCGGAGTACGATAATGGCAGTCAAACTGCATCTCCTCCCACACGGCCAGCAGTATCGAAGCCAGAATGAAAATTGTCGGCCAGTTCTTGAGCTTCTCTCCACTGTAGACACTTGAGTAGAGGCTAGACAGCTCTTCCAGCACGTCCTTCTGCAACTCTCGCCACATGTTCGCCATGGCACACTTGACCTGGAAGTTGACCATCACAGGCGCTATCGTCTTGCCACTGAACTTGGACGACTTGTCGTTGATCTTGCCCTTGAACTGCTCCTCCTCGCCAATACCCTCCACCATGGTAACGTGCAGCGTCAGGTTGTAGGCAATGATAAGCTTCAACGCCTTGCGGATCACCGGCAACTTCGTGCGGTAGTAATACCGGAAGGCCGTCTTCAGCATCTGCGTCAGGAAAGGTGTGCCTTCGAAGTAGTCATCCACAAACTTCTCAAACGTTCCGTTGCCGTCAATGTGGCGATCCAGATAATCCGAGAGCATAGCGTGCGAGATGCCTTCCATTCCAGCGGAGAGCCTGGCCGTTTCCACCTCGTATGGCGTCGGTTCCCGGTGCATGGACTCCACCCAGTCGACCTTGAAGCACTGATCGTCGTGTACGTAGACCTCGCGGGCGTTGATGGGAAGAACTTGACCGTAGCCATGAGTGATGAAGAGAGTCGTCTCCAATTCCGAGAACCCCTTGATGTTTCCGACCGTGAAATCATAGTTGACGTGACGATCGTAGTCCGCCTTCCAGTCCTTCATGAAATAACCGATCTCCTTGATGTCAATCCGCGTGCAGGGAACCTGCCACAATCGCGCATGCGAGGGTTGGCAGCCCGCACAGGGCTCTCCTTTGTCGCACTAATTACTCAATCAGTATGTCGCGTCGCTAAGGTGGGGTCTATCTTACAGTCTTCTTCAGGAACTTGCAACGCAGACACGCGCGCAGTTTGCGGATCTCGCTGGCTTGTTTCCGTTGGTCCGGCTTAAGCGGGCCCTTACGCTTGCCAACACGCTTCTCGGTCTCTGGCTTTCCATTTTGCGATTGCTTACGAACCTTGGTCTCGGCTGTCTTAGCAGCGATCGGGCTCTTACGAGACGGCTTCCGGCTAGGAGGGGAAGCCGATGAAGTTGATCCTGCGGACCGAGTAGGCGGGGTCGACGCCTTCTTGGAGGGCACCGGAATGGGCCGCACAATGGCCACGGGGCTAACCGCCGTAGGCGATTGCGAACCATGCGAGGTGTGGTCGTAAGAGACCCGACGAGTCATGCTGTGGTTGAAAGCAGTGTCAAAGTTGGTGTCAGAGCTGGGAGAATTGATTGGATTCGTGATTTCCACGAAGCTGCCGTATGACGTGGAATAAGACGACTCGGACAGAGACCGGTCGTGGAGCGTCTGAGTGGGATTGATAAAGATGCCCTGGTCCGGGTAGGAGAATTCATGAGAGCGGCGGGGCTCAATGGTGCTCCAGCCGTTGTCGCTACTGGACAGAGATCGGACCTCCAGGTAAGTGTCGGTGGGAGAGCTGCTCTCCAGGACATTCTGTGGTGCGCTGTAGGCGGACAGATCCGGTAAGCCATCGGCAGGAGGGAACGCCATGAGGTCGGCCTGGAGGTCATGGTAAGGGAATGGAACCATGTCGACCGGCGCGGAGAGGGGCAGATAAGAGCCATCGAGCAGGCTCGTGCTCATGTGGCCGTGGGCTCCAGACATAAGATCCACGGGAGAAGAGTGGATAGACATGCCATAGCTAGCGGCGGTGGTGAACTGCTGGGGAGCGGAGGAGGCCTCCTCATGGGAGTACTGAAGGTGGGGTTGCAAGTGCTGGAAGTGCCAGTCGACCATCAGATTAGGATCCTGAGCTACCGATTGATCGTAAGCGTGACCGCTGGTTTGCAAGGGCGAGATGTCTCGCGCTCCATCCGATCGCTGAGAGGCCTGATGGTCCACCGCCACGGGCCATGAGTGAGCTTGGAGGTAATTCCTCGAGTCGTAGTCCAGGCCAATGAAGCCGTCGCTTGATAAATCGACATTCGACATGATGCTGACAACAGGAAACTATTTACCAACGGTGAAGAGGGAGAAAAGGAAAGGATTGCATGAACTTTGCTGGACACTTTGAGAGAGGGAAATAAGAGAGGAGAAAAAAGAAATGAATAAGATGGGAGAAAAAAAAAAAATAAGAATAAAACTCAAGCGATAGACAGACAGCAAGACAGACAGATAGACAAATAGACAGACAGAAGTTAGACAGACAGATAGATAGACAGACACACGCTGGGTGGTACAAAAAACAAATAAGAGGGTGATGAATATGGGTGGGTGTGGGAGGGGATTGGGGGATGGGGGATGGGGATAGGAGGAAGACGTGGGAATACTGATTGATGGAATGGGTGATTGATGAAGCCTGAGGACCAGAAAAGGGCTTCGGATGAGCAGAAAGCCCAGAATCCGGGGGTGCAAAGCGAGAAGAAGAGGACGAGGACGGGCGATAGGATGAGGCCATGGCGGGCAAAAGCCAGGCTAGCGGTGGGGAGCAAAGCAGCGGTGAGGCGGGAGTTGCGTCGGCCGGAGATACGCTAGGGGATCCTGGGAAGGAGTTATCACCATCCGAAGTGGGGATTTCGTGAACGAAGTCAAAAAGACTGACTGACTCTCTTCCCTCTCTGTCCCGGGAAAATTGGAAAAGAGAGGCTGGGTTGCATCCCCTCCGCCCGGGTGGGCTTAATGCCACGACCCTTTCCTACTTGATTGGAGTGGCGTTACTCCATCCACAGCTGATGAACTACTATCAGTACTCACTACTATCTACAATCTACTACTGTGTCCTAGGTTAGCACGTACAGTAGTCTGCTTTTCTTCCCCGGGCGCCAAAATGGAGAACGAGATGATATCCACAAAAGTAAAAAAAAAAGTAACTAAAGAAAAAGACATGAAGAAAAAAAAATTTGGAGAAGAAAAAAAAAAGAAACAACAAAAAAGAAGGCAGACAGAATAGTGCCACTCCAAAGAAACAAAACAGAGAAAAAGAGCCAACATGGTCTTCACACTAGTCCTATCTGAGTTCATTCCGTAGGACCCTACATCTCACAATATGCTAGAGACCGGTTAACCCAATATGGCCCTAGGATCGAACCACTACGTACTGCTAACTGTTCAATTGACAAGTCTCATGATTATCAGCCCTTTCTCGATCTTGGGCAAATTGGAAGCCTACCAACCGAGTAAAAGAGAGCAAAAGGGAAAAAAAATAAAAGACTAGACTAGGCCAAGTGGGTTAGTTACTGTTAGTAGCTGCTGACCATGGGATGCGCGCGACGGCAGTACTAGCCCCATACGCCCATGCATCGGATTAGCCTACTCTCGTTGGCGTCCCACGTCCGAGCCACGTACCGGCTATGTACCAGTGACTCTCCCAACTGCCTTCCAGCGTAGCACTGCCCTACGTCAGTAGTACCTCTCGCTCAGAATGAATACTCCCCCCTTCCAAAAAGGAAAAGTCATCAGGCAGATGATTTGTTGTCAGTCAACTAGTGATATAGTAGCGTAGTAGTAGCAGAGTAGCACCTTGAGCTGTAGTGCTACTTAGCCCTGGGAATGGAATCATCAACCAAAAGCCTGCTTGCTTTTGGGCTACCGCGGTACCGGACGGAATTTTCCGTTGTCGAGACACGGGATCACATTCGGGAAAGGGAGATCAGTGGAAACCGTCAAAGATCGGTTGAGACTGGATTCGATGGAGCATTATTGACTAAGGCGCCACGATTATTGGCAAATGTCTCCGATCGAAGGTCGGCCGTGGCAATATTTCTTTTTCCTGCTTCGTCGCTTTGCCCCGAGGGCCGTTAGTGTTAAACTAAACCCATCTCTCTTTGAGTTACTATTGAG